GGTCCCCGTGCTTTGCTTAGCTTAGCTTGTTCTAAGTAGGTGCTTTAGACCACTGAGCCATCTCACCAGCCCACAGTCCTGGAATCTTTAAATCATTTTATGAGAATTGACTTTGGAAGAAAAGCAAAAATAAGCACAAATTCCCTCAACTTCCAGAGACTAACCACAGGGAAACAAGTTTGCTGCTGCTGTGGTCATCTTATAAGCTGCGATGCTAGCACTCTGTCAGTTCACCTCATTTGATTTTGAGTTTAAGGCTCTTCATTTTTTCATATTATTGTGCACCTTACACATCTCTCTACAACCAAGATTCTACACACAATTCCCATCAAAGTATGAATTAAACAGAAACAGCTGTAAATCTCTTACCTATGCTCTGGATGGTGTATGCACAGCTGCCCCAACACATTATGGGTACACGGGGATCTTCTTCATTGGGGTGAACTTTTAGTCCCACCTTGTAGGTAGCAGTTCCAAATGTTGTTAACATTTCCTTAATGCTCTCAGAATAAGGGTTCCTAATGTGAACACATATTGGATTAGCTTGAAACAATGTGTACATACCAATAAAACAGTTCAGGTTGAGCGGCTCTTTACTGGTGACAGCTGCACAAAAAGGGGTAATCAGGAATAATGACTGTTCCGGCCTAAAAGGGGTTTTGTTCTTTGTGTCAGAGGGGTGAGGTACAGGGGAGAAAACAGGGTAACCAGCATATGTGCATAGAGTTAAGGGTGGGGCCCGCTGCCCCTCTTTCCCACCCCAAGGGTGTCAGCAGCACACACTCCCTACCACTGAGACTGGCTTTCTTTCCAGTGAGGCATCCTTGGTGGGAAGTTGCTCTCCAAATGGACATTTTAGAGTGCCCAAGAAAAAGACAGGTGGCAGCTTGATCACCTTCCTGGGAAGCTCCCGGGGAGTAAGCAGACCCTGACCACCAGGACCCACACAGCTTCTTAGCGCCTTCTTACTTACCCAAGGAGCAAAGACATTGCAGAACAACAAAGAGGTAACAGACCAAAATGAGAGGGAGAAAGAACTCAGGGAGAACAGACACAACCAGTAAGAAAATTATAGGATCAGTCTAAGGCTAGTGGCAAGAGTACTAGGACTAATCCAAAGAAAATCCAAGGGAGGAATATGACCTAAGAAAGCACATGAAAATGCTCAGCATTGAGGGACACAAATCCTCAAGTTCGAAGTTTACTGAGAACTTGGCCAAATGAGTAAGAACGACTCATGTGCCTAGGAGTATCACAGAGATATTTCAGAACAGTGAGGAAAGAAGATCCCAGCGGTGTTCAAAAGTAATAAAGTTATAAGAGAACAGAAATGAGAACGGGATTATTTCCCAATGGATGACTGAAGTTAATAAACAGTGCCGTAAAAATCTAGACAAAAAAATTTCTTTTAACTCAGAGGCCTATACCTGAATTATCACCCAGGAACATGGACACAATAAACTTTACTGCACACACAAGGACTGGACACCCAGCAGTCTTTCTCAGGAACATGCGAAGGGTGGACCTGTGCAAAGGGAGTAACTCTTAAGGAAACAGAGGAGACATGATCTAGAAAGCCAGAGGAGCAGAGCAAACAGAATCTCCAGGGGACAGCAGTGGCCTCTCCCGGCTGGTGTGGAACGGCAACCGCCCAGCACCTGATAGATCTACTGCACTGTTCAGGAATAAAACATCACAGATACATAGACAGAAAACCACGTACAAGAAGACAAAGAACCAACTGCAGGAAAGACTGAACTGTACAAAAAAAAGGACATAATTATTCAACTCATATCCACAGAAACTTTTTGTTGTTGTCGTTTCTATTTTTTGTTTTGATGCAGGGTGTTGCTATGTAGTTCAGGGTGGCCCTGAACTCACTATGTACTCCAGGCTGGCCTTGAACCTGCTGCAATTCTCTTGCCCCAGCCTCACAAGTGCTGGGATTACAGGCACGAGCCACCAGGAACAGTTATACTATAAAAACCAACAGGTGATTTAACCAAAAAGTGTGAAATAATTTACTACCCAATAGTAAGATAATGCTGAATCAGAAACACAAAGTACTAGAAAAGCCCAAAGGACAGGACTGGAGTGGAGAGGAGTGTGGGAGGCAGAAGACTGATGCTTTTGTGGTTAAGTCCTTCAGTTCCAATCAAGTTATTAAGCATAGCCCAGGCTCAGCTTCTGTTGCTTCATGACTTCTGCTATCTTACCCTCATGACAGCTATGAGCCATCCTCACTTTACAGATGAGATGGAGAGGTTAAGCAACTTGCTCAAAGTTGCACAGCTACAAAGCAGTGGTGTCAGGAACTGAACCAACTAGTCCAGCTTCAAAATCTAAGTCTACTTTGTAAATGACTAGCTATGGGTACAGTAGGAAAGAAGATACGCTGGCTCTGACCCCAGGTTACTCATAGTTTTGTATGGTGGGTCCAAAGGTGGAAATAGAATTTAGTGAGGAAGTAGAAAAGATTTAGAAACTTTGATGTGATGTCAAGGAGAGACAGACACGGGTGTAGCAGGTGTTAGCAAGGTGGAACAGGACCAGTAAGTGTAACACTATGCTTAAACCTCAGAATTTGGGCTCAGTGTCCCAAATCACACTTCTAACTGCTAACTTAATTTTGTATTTCAAGTGGGCCAAATTTAAGAGAATAAAGGGCTAGTCATGGTGGTATGTTACTGTAATCCCAGCACTCAGGAGGCTGAGGCAGGAGGATCAAATGAGGTTCACAGCAAAACTTGGCCACATGGTGAGTTCGAGGCCAGTTTAGACTACATAGAAAGACCCTAACTCAAACACTGCCACCACCACCACAATAAAATGAATCAAAATAGAAAAAAGGGAACAGGACGGAGAATATACTTACTTAGGATGAAAATCAGGCCTGAAACCTTCAGGCAGCTGTAACGGATCCATGTTCTTTGAATTCTTTGAAGAGGCAGTATCTAGAGAGACAGGTATTTTATTCCATTACTCAATCAATTATAGTACTTCTACATATTTGTTATATGAGTAAAAACAGGAAAAGTTCTCATTAATAAGAACTCTTCTAGCCGCAATATAAAGCCCAGAAAGCACTAGTGCTGCTGACCAGAGCACTTTTTAGTCCATGAGCTGCTGAGGGAAGCATGGCCAGAGCAGGGCTTTCTGCTTATAAACAGCCTCCAGGACACAAGGGAGATGCTGCCGCTTTGTTCCTGGGAAAGCCGACGACACCAATCTGCTCTCACTGCTCTCCCTCCCGTCCTAAGTGCAGTGCGGCCCAAGAAACTCAGGGAGCCTGCGTGCTGCACACAGTGACGTGAGCCAGCACGACTAGAGCTGGCCTACCAACCCCAGTCATGGCTCTGCCGGCCCAGAGGCTCCATACAGTGCAGGAGAGAGTGGGAAGGGGTCATACCCAACCTCACGGGGCCTGCGTGCTTTCCAGGGATGAAGGAACAGAGTGAAGTCAAATTCCATGTACTGAAACAAGGAAAATCAGAATATACCAACTTTTTTACTTTTTCCTATTAATCTTTTACTTTTTCCTTTACTTTTATTTTGGGTTGCTTGTGTAAAGAATACACTGAATTTTTAAACGAAAGTTCTTTTTTGTCTTTTTGAGACAGGGTCTCGCTCTGCTGTTCAGATTGGCCTTGAGCTCATTTTGTAGCCCAGGCTGGTCTCAAACTCACAAGGATTCTCCTATCTCAGCCTCCCGAGTGCTGGGATTACAGTGTGCGCTACCATACCCGGCAAATGTTTTCACTTTTAAAATATTTTTAAATAATTTCTTCTGGAAATAGTTTAGAGAAAAAAAAGAAAGCAGGTTAGCCGAACTTACTGGGAGCACTTTCTTCTTTCCTAAGACTCTGTAATGCTTTTATTTGTTGAGATATTGTTCTAATCCATTCAGTCAGATTTGGTTGGTCTGAAAAATTTAACCTGCTAGAAAAGATCACGGAGAATATTTAATAACCAATGTTGTTGCTTAGTTTAAGACACAAAAGATTTGTTAAATTGTCATAGATGTGGGACTTCAGATAGATTTTTTTTGGCAGAACCGGGGATTAAACTCAGACCCTTGGCAAGTGCTTATTCTACTAAGCCATCTTCCCAGTCCCTCAAGTATTTTTTAAAAAAAAGGCTAGGACAGATTTCTTGCATTACACAAAGTCAGGCCAGACACTGGCCAATGGCAATGAAAGTATACTCTCAAAATGTTAACAATGTTGTAAATGCTGGGCATGGCGGTACATGCCTATAATCCCAATAGTGGGGAGGCTGAGGAAGGAGGATCGCTGGGAGTTCAAGACCAGCCTAGGTTATAAAGTGAGCTTAAGACAGGGTGAACTACATAGTGAGACCCCATTTCGAAGAAAAAAAAAAAAAAAAAAAAATTGTTAAAAATTTCATTTTCATTGTAGAATTTGGTAAAATTTCTTAAACACAGGGAGCTGGGGAGATGGCTCAGTGGAATAAGCGCTTCCCTGGCAAATGCAAGGGCCTGAGTTCAATCCCTGGTTCCGCCAAAAAATAAATAAATAAAATTTCTTAAACAATTGGAAGCATCACTTGTGTTTTGCAAGTGCTTATTGTGTGACAAACTTTTAGAGCACTTTTCTGTAACCATGTTATAGTATTAAGATTTAATCTTCAAAATATTCCTAGAGCTACATTGTTTTGTTTGTATTTTACAGATGATAAAAATGAGGTTTAGAGCAATACACCCCGAGTAAGGCCACAGGAAAGGCACGCGGTCAGGGCAAACTCAGCCTTGTCAGACTCTATAAATATCTTATGTATTAGGGCTGGCGAGACAGCTCAGTAGACTAAGTGCTTGCTTGGGCAAGTGCAAAAACTGGTGTTCAGGAACTAGGGTTCAATCCCCAGCACCACATGCCTTGCTGGCCCTGCCCTCAGGCATGCTGAACTGGCCACCACGGCTGGGTGTGGTAGGCATTAAAAAACGAA